TTTTTTTATTTAGTTTTGAAAAGAAAGAGTGTGGGAAGGTCATTTCGATCAGAAGGACTTTCTCTTAAGTATGAGTGGCAAAAACTTTCTCCAAAAAGTCTTGAGATGAATAAAAATAGGAAGATAATTTTTCCAAGTGATGCACGTTCTATTACCGAAGTTCAGTAATTCTTATTCCTTATAAGATGTTCTCATTTTCAGAAGAAAGCCTCAAACGCTCATAATCTGACTAGGAACCGTGCTAGTGTGGATCGACCATTGTTTGCTGTCATGGATGCTAAAAAACGCATTCCATTGCATTATGCAATGAAATACGGTGAGTTTTTGGGATATTCTCATTTGTGTTTACCTACTCTGTATGTCAGGTAACTACGAGCCAACGAAAATGCTTCTCAGTCAGCCAGGTGCAGAGCTGTGTCTAACATGGCGGGACAAAGATGGTAAATATTCACCGAAATTTGAGATGAGATCATCTAATACCCGCAGTTTCCACATACAGAAATGACCCCATTACACTTTGCTGCCGCAAATGGCAAGAACACTTGCATAGAATGGGTGTTGAGGAATTTCAGCAAGATTAGCGTGAATAGAAGAGACTCAAAGGGAAGGTAGCCTATGACAATTTACGAGAAACGTTTTAAATCGTGTAATTTGTAGGTCAGCAGGCATGCTTTCACTTACATCGCTTTCTGGTCCATACTGGCCTCTTATTCAAAAGAGCAACATGGAAAGATGCGATAATATGGGTAGAGGCTACCTTCACCGTGCTGTATATTCCAAGTGCGAAGATGCCTTGAGAAGAGTGCTGGATAGATGTAACCCGAATGTGAAGTAAGTGATTTGTAATGAATCACCTAAGTGTTGCAGCTGTATCGCGGAATTGCGTGGTCAAAGAAATTTTTCGCTATCTTTTCCAAATCTATACAAAATTTATAGCGTTATCTACTTCTAACAATTCAAGAGCAAAAGCAACGCAAACCAGAATAGTAGCCGAGAATTCATACTTTTATATCTCTCACTTATATACTCGAGAACGTTGACTTTCCCCTTCGCGAAGAATACGGTACTGGGCGAAAATTAATGTTGGACTCTCTCTCCATCGCATGACTCTTAGGCACGCGCCATACTTGATCCGCTTAATCCACTTG